GACCCTTCTGCGGGTTCGGAGGCGGCGCAGGGTCTTGTTGGTGTTGAGACGGGCAGTTTCGGGGGGGGGGGGTCCCCTTCCAGGGGTGACGGCGGAGGCATTCGAGCTTTTTTCTCCTACCGATACATATGGGTCTGACCAGTGGGTCCCCTTAATTAGTGTTTTTTCAGCTGCCCCGGCTTTTTCTTGCGAGGCTGGGGCTTTGGGGGGCCAAGGCTCAGCTCCAGGTCCTCGGAGTGAGGTTCCTGGGGTGTGGGAGGGGTTAACTTGGGGGCCATGGGCCCTGTTGGACCCCACTTGGGTTTTTGTACCCTCGGGGCAGAGCTTGGTGTTATGTGGAGAGGGGTTCTTCTTTGCTCCCTCTTCGTACAAATTGGAATTGGCGTCTTCCCCTCCCCAGGTTCGGTTCCGTGATCCTGTGGGTTCCTCGGTCCCATCTTCCGGAGGTTTTTGGGTTCCTGTGTCCATTCTCATGTGGTGCGGGAAGCCCTTGTGGCTAACCTTCTGCACAACCTGGATTATACCTTCGTGATGGATCCACGTTCCTTCGTATAAGGATCTTTGTGTCCATACTGGGTTCATTGTGATGTTCCAGAGTCGTCCCGGTTTGCAGACTGCCGGCTCTTCTCGTTGGAGGCTTGGCACCCGTTCTGTTGGTCCCACGCGCTTGAGTGGAGGGAGGCTCAAGACAGTGTTGCTGGTTTTCCCTGGGGAGCGATTTTGAGCATCTCAATGCAAGTTTGTTCGCCTCTACCCTTCTGCGGGTTGTTGGTGTGATGCAGCTTCATGTGCAGGTTCCTTCCCTTTCGACTGCCTTGGTCATGGAGGACTTGCATACACGTGGCCTAATGACTTTGGCCCAGTGTTTCATCTCCCTCCTCAAGCTGTCCTCAGATTGGCTAGAGTTGGATGTGGTGGTGCTTGGGGCCGCCTCTGGGTCTGGTGCGTTGCCTTCGGCTGTGCGTGCGTCGTCTCTATTGTTGACACTGTTCGTGATACTCCTGTGGGATGCGGTTTCCCAGCTTTCGCTTCTCCCCTCGCGTGTCGGCAGGCGATGCTTGCTTCATCCTTGGGCCTTGGCTCTTAGGTTGTCTTTCCCTTTTTGTCCGTTGCTGTTGCAGAGTCTGCCGTTGTGCAGTCTCAGCAGGCGGCTTCGGCTAGTTGCCGACCTATGTCGGACTTGTTGGTTCTCCAGGGGGCTCGTGGGGAGGCTAGTGGGGAGGCCTTGGAACCCTGGTATGACCCAAATGGGTCATACCAGGGTTCGGGGTTCTTCCTGTCATCTTGGGCCAGTGGTGCCAGATTTGGGGGATGCGCAGCCTTCAGTTCTGTCTTTTTCTGATTGGCGTGGGTATTGCCCTGTGCGCTGCTTAGGTTCTTGTACGGTGCATCGACCTTTACGAGGTCTGTCCCATTGACGGGGCGATAGGGAGGAGGCTTGCTCTGTTGCTAGTGTCTGGTCCCACGATTGTGGGCCCTTCGAGTCGTTCAGTGCGGCCTGTGGGGGGTTGGGTGTTTGGGTGGCTGCTCCTCCTTTGAGGGGGTTCGGGGATGGCAGGGCGGGCCTCCTCTCCTGCGCTCTGTCGAGTCCTCTCGGAACGGGTTTCCTCGAGTGTGGTCGAACCAACCTCGTCTCTCAGATGGGTTCCCACCTGTTTCCAGTCCCGAACACTGGACTGCACAGACCTCTGGGTCATTCTGGATTGTCCCATCTGAACCCGTGGGTTCTTGCCCCTCCTTTCGAGTGACCACTCTGTCCCAGGTCCGTCTTCTGTTGGAGCCAGACACTTGGGTGGTGTCCCTGGACCTCATGGATGTGTATTGGCACGTCCCAATTCATCCGAGGATCAGGGACTGGCTTGGTTTTGTTGTGGGGAGTCAAAGTTCCCACTTTTGTTGCCTTCCATTCGGCTTGATTCTGGCACCTCACATTATCACATGCCTTCCTTGGGTCGTCATGGACCGCCTGTGGCTGTTAGGTGTTTGGGTTCTGGCCTCCATCGACAACTGGTTGGTTTGGGCTCCCAGCCGGTCCGCGTGTCTGTTCGCCAGGGATTTGGTTCTTTACCAGCTCGCCTGGTGCACTGGCAGTAGTCCCATCTGGTTTGGTCTTGGCTGAGTTTTGTGTGGGATGCTCGGACCGCTTCCTTGTCTTTTCCTCCGGCAGCTCTACTTAGCATGCGTTCTTGCCTTCGTTTGCTCCTGCACAGCACGGTGTGGGTGTTCGCGGCTGTGTGGTTGTTGCTCTGGAGGATCCGGGTTGCTTGTGGATCGCCGATCCGGCTTCTTCGGACTGTTCCCCAGTGGCTCTTTGCCTGAACCGGGGGAATCCAGGCAGTCCTTGGCACTTTGGGACTAATCGCTTCGGGTGACTCCTATGCTGAGTCACCTGGTTTGGCTCTCCTGGCGGTTCACGTTCGGGTAGTATCCAAGGTCCTGGCTCGCTTGGAGTTTTACCAGGGGAAGAGTTGTCCTTCTGGCTCCTTAATGGCCGGCCCAGCCTTGGTTTCAGTCGCTGCTTGCTCGGTGTCCAAACCAGAGGGTCTTCTTGCGGCTCCACCACTTTCAGCCAATCAGTCCAGGCCAGTACAAGGCTGGTTTGTTCTTCTCCTCGAGTCTTTGCATCTGGGGTTTTTGTCACAAATTTCTTGCTGCTTGTATGAGCATAGGTGGTTTGTTTTGGTCTCCCACCAGCGTGCTTCATGTTGGCGGCAGTATGGAGTTTCCTGGCAGTCCTTCCAATTCCTATCACTGCGTAGGTGTACTTCGGTCTCTGATAGGGGTTGTCTTGTCCTCCTTTCGTGGTTGTTCCAGGACTGTCATCTTATGCTGGATACTGTCGCCTTGTATCGCGCAGCGCAGGCGGAGCCACTCCAGCTTGCATTTGGTATTGAAGTTACTTCGCCCCCATTCTGCATGCTGTCTTGTGCATTGTTTCACCTCCAGCCTGCTCATGCGCCTCCGGTGCCATCCTGGTCATTGGACAGGGTGGTCTCTTTTTCCTTTCTTCTCTGTGGTTTGTCGTGGCCTCTTCGGTTCTGGGTTTTCTCCAGGTCTCTTTTTTTTTTTCCTGTTGGCGTTGGCCTCTGGGGGTCAGGTTGAGGAGCTTCAGGCACTTCTCCAGCGCAGGTGTTTTTCTGCTTGTTTGGTCCCAGTGGTAGGTTTGTTCGTTTGCAGCAGTCTTCTTTTCCTGGTGATAATTGGGTCTGCTGCTTTCCAGAGGGGTCCTTGGGTTATTGATGCTTGGTTGGTCGAGCCAGGGATGCTTCTTGTGTTGTGTTCTGTTGCAGCTCTCTGCTGTTCTCTACACATCCTGGCCTCTGTGGCTGTGGGGGTGCTTTGGATTGCCCAGGTTCCCTTCCTTCCTTCCTTCCTGTTCCGGGGTTCGGGTCTCCTGGGTCCTCTACAGGGTGCTTCAGTTTGCTAGTTGTCTCATTTTTGAGTTAGGATGCATGGCATCCACTTCCCAGGTCCTTCCCTCTTTTCTTTATCTTTGGTGAGGTAGCTCTGGAGAGCCAACAAGGCTTCCCCCAGAAAACCAACGTTGAATGTAATGAAACGCCATTTTCTGGGTGAGACCCGGAGGTTCCCCAGCATCCCTCCCTCCCTCCGGTCGGCGGTGTTTCCATGTATTTTGCTAGTTTTCATTTGGGGAGTTCTGTCCACTCGTTTTCTTTCGAGTTGGCTATTTTGATAGAAATATTTTAACCAGAATAGGGGTTTGTTTTGGGGCGCCTATCTTCCTGGGTGCTAGACCCAGTCGATGGAAGACAGAATGCTTGCAATCATACGGGGGTTTGTATAGGCCATTGCTCCTCGTGCCTCTCTGAGGGGGCCAGGTTCTGGCCGTGGTCCTTGGTAGGCAAGAACTCCATGCACTTTGACCGATGCCAGAAAGCTAAATAAGTACATATCAGCCAGGATAGCTCCGGGGAGCCTCCGGGTCTCCCCCCAGAAAATGGTGTTTTATTGTATGGTTATATGACAAAAAAGGGTTGGCCCCAAAATGGACCTGGTGTTCTGTGGTACTCCACTCACTACATTTCTCCCGTCCGATTCCTTCTCATTTATTTTCTTTGTTTTAATCACTGTTTTATCCATTCTAGTATTTTACTATTTATCTGAGCTGGCAGCCTCCCCATACCTCACAACATGATGAATAACACTTCTTTTTCTAAATTTCTTAAACCATTCCTTGCTCGCCTTAAACGCTTTCATATCTGCATCACTCATTTCATGGGTTTTCTTTAAGATCATCATGATCATTTAAGATCATCATAACCCTTAAACCACACCAGCCACTTGAAAGCGATTGGCCAAGATGCTCTAATCACTTGAGGATGTTGAAAAGTTATTGTTAATTTGGATAAATGACAAACAGGTAGCGGATGATAGCGTTTCAGAGGCCATCATTTGTGGAAAAGCTAGGCTATTGTTTTCTTTAATGATCATCATGCCTAGCTGCTTTTCCACAAATGATGGCCTCTGAAACGCTATCATCTGCTAGCTATTTGTCATTTATCCAAATTAACAATAACTTTTCAACATCCTCAAGTGATTAGAGCTAGATATCTAGGCCAATCGTTTTCAAGTGACTGGTGCGGTTTAAGGGTTATAAGCCTTAATAATTCATTATTATGGTTTACTGATGATGTAATGACTGAAATGTGTTAGTCTATATAATTTAAAAAAATGTCTTCAGTTGTGTTATTAATTATCCCGCACAGTTTTAAGATAGCTCCTATAATCAATTTATTAAGGCTTATAACCAAGTGAATGATTACTTACAATTAAGGCATACGAAGAATGTAGTAGTGATGGGTGTTAATGAAATGGAAAATATTTACATCAATAATGTAATTTAAACAATATCAAAGAATAACAAACGCATAAATAATTGTTAAAAACAGCCTTACGACATATAAAACTACAGTAATCTAAATCTTTAAATTATCAGAAAGAACCTCAAGGAGAAAATGTGGAAATTCAGATGTGCTCACCATGGAACTGTGGTGGGGTATCCTGTGGAGACATGAGAACAACTAGTGGCTGCCCAAAATAATGAGGCATGTTTGCAAACACAGGCGAGTTATCCGAGTCCACCACAATGAAGAGAGGCTTGCGAGTGAAAGCATATAGGTCCCCAGGGTAGAAGCAATGCATATCCTTGAGCTGTAATGCACGTTTATTAGTGTGCTCAGGATCTCTTTTACTGTTCGTTACCACGCCTCCATAATCATAGCCAGCTGCAGCATTTGGAATATGTTAAGAGATGAAAGTACTGTATTATGGAGCAAGACACATTACATCAATAATTAAAACATTACACTTAAGAATATAAGTACTGTACTGTATATACACTGTGACTTGGAAAATCAGTGCAATATAATTCAGACCCATTTAGGTTGATCATTAATATACTGTATTGGTAAAAATTTGTATTTTTGATAGAGCTCCCATTGGCTCCCTGAAGCTCTCTCACTGAGATAATTCTATGTAAATGGATCACATCAGATGTGAGAGTTCAGGTTGGCCTAACAGGAACTAGTGCTAAAACCTGTGCCCCCATCACAGAGGTGCATAGACCAAGTGATAATTTGCCACCACACTGGGAAGGCATCCAGGAAGTTGGTGAAACTTTACAAACATTTGTTGGGCTATCAAACATCAAAGCTTTGATATTGCCAAACAAGCCTGCAAATGATTCACACGGAAAGAGAGAAACATTCAAAATTAATGCTTAACTCGATACTGAATGCCACCAATAAATGGCCAGGCTTCCCTAAACAGCCACCCTTCTTACCCAGTTCTTCCACTGGTGCCCTGTGTACAGTAGTGCTTCCGGTCGTTCAAACATGGCAAGATCCTCTGCTTCAATTTAATTGCTGGCCATCCTTGGACTTGTTTCTGTGGGAACCATTTGCTTTGTACTCTGCTTTATATTTCAGTTTGCTTCATGTGTGTGTATTCCACCTGGCTTGTTGCATAGGCATGGCTTTGTTGTGTTCTGAGCTGCATGTATTTTTTTTATTTTTGTCTCCAGGGAGCCCTCCTAGCACTGTCACTGATGTATCTATTCTGGCGTGTTCCAGAGTTTGTCCCCGAGAGACCATATGACTGGGGTGCAGAGCTCACTTAGGTCTATTTGTGTCTTTGACTCCTCTGTATTGGCCTTAGGCTGGGGGACCTTCTGTTTTACCCGGATTGTGCTGCCTTGCACAGGGGCTCTCATGTCTGTTTATGCCTTGTCAATATTATGACCCTTATGTTCTTGAGATCTTGAGATGATGATGTTATCTTGAGATGATTTCGGGGCTTTTTAGTGTCCCCGCGGTCCGGTCCTCGACCAGACCTCTACCCCCAGGAAGCAGCCCGTGACAGCTGACTAACTCCCAGGTACCTATTTACTGCTAGGTAACAGGGGCATTCAGGGCGAAAGAAACTTTGCCCATTTGTTTCTGCCTCGTGCGGGAATCGAACCCGCGCCACAGAATTACGAGTCCTGCGCGCTATCCACCAGGCTACGAGGCCCCTATTGTTCTTCAAACAATAAGGTTTGAATTTCACGAACAGAGCGTTATCTTTCAACACCGCGTTGGACAGGTCTTTGGGAGGCAGAGGTGCATGCGCCACCCATGGTTCCTCACTCAGTACTAACCCAGCCAGCAGCCCTTGGGTATTCTGGGAATTTTTTCCAAGATGGCTGCCTCTCACTGGAGGTCCTAAGAGTCCATTTCGTACACAACCAACCTCGCACACATTTAGAATGGGTACAGAAAAAAAAAAAAAAAAAGAGTTTTCTTGGTTGGCGCAGTTTCCCGCCGACCGAGAATACTTGGTTGGCGCAGTAAGTGGTTAATCCGTTCCTGACTACCCAAAAACTTCACTTCAAACTAAATTTTATACCTAATTCCTCCAAATCTATACTACAAAAGTATGTTCAAGTTATTACTTACCCTTGCTGATGACTCCTGTTGGCGTATAGAAGATAGTGAGGAGGGGGGAGGAGGAGAGGTGTTACTGTTTGGAAGGGAAGTCTCCTTCCATTATAACATCATGCAGTAAAGATTTTTCTGGAGTGCACTCTGGCACGTTTTGCCTGGTCCTGGTTGTGACTCACTGCTTGATTTTCTCACAACAAAATGATCCATTGAAGATTGTTTTTCCCTTCTTTGCAACACATGTATGTAGTAAGACATCACATTGTCATTTAAAAGGTCAATGTAACGGCCTGCTACAGCTTTATCTGGGTGAGTTTTTTTCAACAAAACTTTGCAGTTCTTCCCATACTTCACACATTTTCTTAATGAGGAAGGGACATCTTCTACTGCCTCTACTCAACTATTTTTTTAAGGTTGAACCTTACCACTGGTTTTCTTGGGACCCATGCCAAGATATATATTAACTTTTATGCTCAAATGGCCAAAAATCCAACAAAAAGCTGTAAATTCTTGAGAAGAATTCAGGCGGGATAGTCACTGGGCGCGAGGCACTGGTAAACTGAGGCGCGATCGCCGTGCCACCACGCGCTAGGTCGGCTCGTACGCATATCAACAAACTCATAAGCTGATGCAATGCTCGTATCCCGATGCAAATTTTCCAAACAAATTAGGCTCGTAACCCGAAAAACTCATAAACAGGGAAGTTCGTAACCCGAGGTTCCACTGTATATCCATATCAGCTTAGATAGCTCCGGGGAACCGATGGGGCTCCCCACCAGAAATGTTATGTTATGGAATGTGGAATTGAAGAAAATACACCACACACAACTTACAAATTATGTAGAAAGAAATGAAAAACTCTAATAAAGAACAAGATCTAGGGGGTGGTTTTGGATAATGAACTGTCACCATAGGAACACAAAGAACATTGTGAGAGCAGTGTATGCATCACTTTCCAACTTCAGATTTGCTTTAAATTACATGGATGGTGAAATACTAAAGAAACTGTTCACAACTTTTGTGAGACCAAAATTGGAATATGCAACAGTTGTATGGTTCCCATATCTCAAGAAGCACATAAACTGAAAAAAGGTGCAAAGGCATGCTACAAAATGGCTTCCGGAACTGGAAAAACAAGAGTTACAAGGATAGACTAGAGGCACTAAACAACCAAAACTAGAAGATACAAGAAAAAAAGGTGATATAATCACCACTTACAAAATACTAACAGGAATCGACCAAATTGACAAATTGGAATTCCTGAAACCAGCAACATCAAAAACAAGAAGACAGATTTAAGTTAAGGAAACAAAGGTACCAAAAACGAATTAGGAAGTTTTCTTTCGCAAACAGAGTGGTAGACGGTTGGAACAAGTTAAGTGAGAAGGTGGTGGAGGCCAAAACCGTCAGTAGTTTGAAAGCGTTATATGACAAAGAGTGCTGGGAAGACAGGACACCACGAGCGTAGCTCTCATCCTGTAGCTACACTTAGGTAATTACATGTAGGAGGAGCACATTACCAGGGTTAAGGCACTATGCACAGTGCAGGGATTAACGCCAAGCAGGAAACCTAGGCACAGGAAATACTTGTGAAGAACCCACACCTTTCACAATTTAGGAACACTGGTACTTCCCACAAGCACTCCAGGGAAACACTGGTACTTCCCACAAGCACTCCAGGGAAACACTGGTACTTCCCACAAGCACTCCAGGGAAACACTGGTACTTCCCACAAGCACTCCAGGGAAACACTGGTACTTCCCACAAGCACTCCAGGGAAACACTGGTACTTCCCACAAGCACTCCAGGGAAACACTGGTACTTCCCACAAGCACTCCAGGGAAACACTGGTACTTCCCACAAGCACTCCAGGGAAACACTGGTACTTCCCACAAGCACTCCAGGGAAACACTGGTACTTCCCACAAGCACTCCAGGGAAACACTGGTACTTCCCACAAGCACTCCAGGGAAACACTGGTACTTCCCACAAGCACTCCAGGGAAACACTGGTACTTCCCACAAGCACTCCAGGGAAACACTGGTACTTCCCACAAGCACTCCAGGGAAACACTGGTACTTCCCACAAGCACTCCAGGGAAACACTGGTACTTCCCACAAGCACTCCAGGGAAACACTGGTACTTCCCACAAGCACTCTAGGGAAACATTGGTACTTCCCACAAGCACTCCAGGGAAACACTGGTACTTCCCACAAGCACTCCAGGGAAACACTGGTACTTCCCACAAGCACTCCAGGGAAACACTGGTACTTCCCACAAGCACTCCAGGGAAACACTGGTACTTCCCACAAGCACTCCAGGGAAACACTGGTACTTCCCACAAGCACTCCAGGGAAACACTGGTACTTCCCACAAGCACTCCAGGGTAACACTGGTACTTCCCAGTCATTGCAGGGAAACACTGGTACGTCCCAGTCATTGCAGGGTAACACTGGTACTTCCCAGTCATTGCAGGGTAACACTGGTACTTCCCAGTCATTGCAGGGTAACACTGGTACGTCCCAGTCATTGCAGGGTAACACTGGTACGTCCCAGTCATTGCAGGGTAACACTGGTACGTCCCAATCATTGCAGGGTAACACTGGTACTTCCCAGTCATTGCAGGGTAACACTGGTACTTTCCATAGTCACTCCAGGGAAACAGTGTGGAAAACAGTGGCCTAGCAAACCAAGGGCGCCTGGACAGCTGAGTGGACAGCGCTTCGAATTTGTATTCCTGAGGTTCCGGGTTCGATCCCCGGTGGAGGCGGAAACAAAAATGGGCAGTTTCACCCTGATGCTCCTGTTCACCTAGCAATAAATAGGTACCTGGGAGTTAGACAGCTGCTACGGGTTGCTTCCTGGGGGTATGTAACAAAAAGGAGGCCTGGTCGAGGACCGGGCCGCGGGGACGCTAAGCCCCGAAACTATCTCAAGAAGATAAGAAGATAGCATGGGGCCAAGTTGTGCCTCAATATATTCAATAACAACTGCTTGTTTACCTATTGGCAAGGTTGGTAAATTCAACCAACCTTGGTTGAAGGTTAATGAGGATCCAAACTCAGATCGGTAAATGAGGATCCAAATATTTCTCAAAATTGCCCGTTAAATCCAGTAGAACATTAAATCCTGATATATACAAGTGAAACCAATACACAAGCAGCATGGCCCCTGCAGGACAATCTCCACAGGATTTATGATTAAGACTGACTGGCCAGACCTGTGATTGGTTAGTGGCCTGCAGCTCAGGGTAGCCACCTGCCTTGGTTGCCAGGTAAATTTAGGTAAATAGGACAGGTTGCCTACTGGATTACCCATTCTCTGTATTTTTTAATCTTACCCTATACTATTTTATTTTGGGGTCCAATTTTTATATTTTTTTTACTTTCATTTTACCTTGCTGTTCTCTGTTTTTGGTTCATTCAACCTTTCGGGTAGCTATTTCTTCAGATAGTGTGATCTTGAATCCTCGGAGCATCCCATGCACCACTGTAAGGGGACCAGGTTTTGATTCTCTGGTTAGGATATTTAAAACCCAAAGGGACTGGTATGATTTCAATTGGGTGGCGTTAACAAGGACAGAGAGACAGGAAGCCACCGACAGATCACTCACAGAAAAAATATACCGTACTTGGCAAAAATAAGTATAAAATATTTATTCTCTCTCCAATGAGAGTGCAAGTGAAGGTAACACTGTAATAACATTTACAGCACACTGCTGCAAGTCTGAATCTGCTGAGCTCTAGACGGTAATATACTTAAGTTTTTACACCATGAATTATGTTGGCAAAACCTAATCATTAACTCACGGTCCTGAGGATGTTTTGAGTTGGTGAATGCCCCATCAGCCGAGATGTACAGCAACATGGCTCCATTAGCTGGTAGCTCCTTGAAGCCTGATGCCAGGAATACCATCAACTGAGAAAACGTGGGCTTATACAGCAGGTATTTGTGTGGATTCTCTCTTTTCAATGTCCGACCACTGGCATCTCCATTCTCCTGAAAAATGTTACTCACACAATTTCAGGGCTATACAAGTAACAGTATTATAGAGTAAATCATACAACAAGAACTTTCATCATAGTAAAAGTCATGATAATCAACTCATCAGTTTATTTTGAAAAATATTTATGTTAAACTAGTGGAAAATTTTATTGATGGACAAAATTAGGCTATCATAATGAAATGCTAGAAGTAATTGATTAAATACAGTGGTACCTCGCATAACGATCGCCCCAAAAGACGGACATTTTGGGTAACCAACGGCCCGATCGGCGTCAAATCGTCCCATATGACGAACGCTGGTTTGAGTAACGTCAACACCACATGGTGGGGTCGCGCTGCTTCTTGCACATTCTTAGACGCCTCCAACGATGCACATAAATTATGTTGTTCTTGTTTAAAGATGCTAATGATGCTGGGATATAAAAGGGTGACTGCTGAGATGTTGCAAAGCATTGGCGTTTTTGTAGGAAAAAAGAAATGAAATGTCTGATATACAACAAATGTCAAAAAGGTTCGTTCGGTGTTCGGCAGGTAGGCTGCTCCATTATAACAATCTTTCTTTGTTTCAAATGTGTTCCATTTGTTTTGTATTTGTCATTTACGTCTCAATAATGGAGAAGCCTACCTTACATACACTGAATAAACCATTATGACATTTTCCTTTCTTCAAATGTGTTCAATATTTATTTTTCATTTGTCTTATAGCAAAAGGTTCGTTCGGTGTTCGGCAGGTAGGCTGCTCCATGTTTCTTACATACAAAAAACATAAATAATAAAAAAAAAAATGAAGAATTTTGAAAACCACTACAAATGTCAAAAAGGTTCGTTCGGTGGTCTACAGGTCGGCTGCTCCATGTTTCTTAAATAAAAAAATAAAAAACGAAAAATAAAAGAACTGTTGAAACAATTTGAAAAATGGACAAATGCCATAAAGGTTCGTTCAGTGTTTGTCGGGTAGGCTGCTCCATTATTGAGACGTAAGTGAGAAATACAAAACAAATGGAACACATTTGAAACAAAGAAAGATTGTCATAATGGAGCAGCCTACCCAACAAACACTGAACGAACCTTTTGCTATAACGAATATGAAAGACAAGGGCTGCTGGCTGGGTTAGTACTGCGTGAGCAACCATTTGTGGCACACGCGGCTCTGGCTCTCAAACACCTGTCCAACACGGTGTTGAAAGACTGCGCTCAGTCGGTGCCATTCAGACCCTATTGTTTGAAGAACATAAGGGTCATAACATTGGTGAAGCTAGGCGCAATAAGGGCTTAACACAACGGTCGGATGCCAGTGATACAGCACCAATGAGGATGATACAGCGAGCGTATCCAGTTGTAGCTCTGAGCCTCACCCTTGCCATCTCCAATTTATATAGATGATACATAGATGAATCGTTTTCTGTGTTCAGTGATGATGCATCTGATACAAGTAGCATAGATGAACAGTGTTAGCGGCTTCCATGGTGGTGTTCATTGATATTTTCAAGAATACCTGAATCTCTTCCTGACTGATGGACACTCTTTGAGGATAGCTGAATCTCTTCCTGTGTGGGACCTTACAAAGCGATCTTTTCAAGACTACCTTACAAATTGAGCTTTTCCTATAATCGTTTCAATACTACCTTATGCTTTACAAGCTTGTCTACATACCACCTACAAGTACTAAAGCCAAGGGTGCACGCGAGTGCGTTATTTGCAAGCACACAGAACGATGAAACGGGAAATGAAAATCTATCTGCAGCTGGTGCAAGGAGAGCAAAGTCGCGCTGTGTACCATGGACTACTTCGTTGACTATTACGCACCTCCAAAGTACTGAGTGTGTAATACAGTGTGTTACTGGGTAAATAGTATGTGAAACTGTACATATTGTAATTTTAGTGAATTTTTACCACGTAATATTGTGACAATAAATATTTATTGTGGACACATTACTGACACATGTATCACAGTTCCATGGTAAATTATGAACATTCTACTGTATACATATTGTAAAGGTCACAAATCTGCATCATATACGATAAAAGAAACAAATAAAACCGCATTGGAAATGCATAGAAAAAATATTTTAAAATATATTTGTGGCAACACGCGGTGCTTGCACGACTGTGTCTGGGAGCTGCACACACGGGCGACCAGCCCCTGATGACGTCACAGCACACCTTGTCCACGTCCTCACAGCCAAAGTAAGTGGAATTTGGTAATTATTTTTAGACATGTTCAGGGACGGTAATTTATCATTTTGCAAAGAAAAATGATATTTTGGGGAACATTTGATGTCATGCACACTGGGGGAATTTCACAATAAACACAGTGCATCACACTGGTTACATGGGGGGACACTTGTTTTGTATGACGTCCGTTTCACATGACGAACATGGAACGGATTAAATTCGTTATGCAAGGTACCACTGTACTTGGGATGAGAGAGAAAAAAAAAGTTGAATGTAATGAAACGCCAATTTCTGGGCGAGCTCCAGTGGCTCCCTGAACCCATGATAATGACATAGTACCAAACTACAGGGTGCCATCAGTTGTGAAATTCTTATTGGCTTATTGGGGACCATGAGTCCGAACCTGGCCCACCCTCAGAGAGATGCAGGGAGCAGTGGCTCTAAGAAAACTTGTGCAAATTTATTATTGTCAGCCACTACTAAGGGAAGGTACCCATAAAGTCAGTGAAACAAAACAGAATACTGCTTGGTTAGAAAATCAGACCACAGCCTCAAAACAGAAAAGAAAACTCACCCCAACACTGTAAACAAAGGATTTAAAATTGGCGAAAATAGAGTGAGCTAGTTTGCCCCATCTTCTCCCTCGTTTGCGGAAAGGAGGAAGGAAAACCAGGTAACCGGGTGCTCCACCACCAGTACTTAACACTTTCGTGCTCTAGCTACAATGTACGTCGTCGTTCATTTTTCTCTTGATTCTACTCTAGCTGACAAGACCACACACTAGAAGGTGAAGGAACGATGACGTTTCGGTCCGTCCTGGACCATTCTCAAGTCAATCGACTTGAGAATGGTCCAGGACAGACCGAAACGTCGTCGTCCCTTCACCTTCTAGTGTGTGGTCTGGTCAACTTACTTTAGCCACATTATTGTGACTCATCATCTTCTCTAGCGACGACGTCCGGAGTCGCTTATTAAAATATTTGTTAAAAATTTAAATTTTATCCGATCGATCTGGTAGTGGTTTCAAAATGAGCGCCTTTAGATTGCGCACAATTTAGCACTTTCGCACTTTAGCACAAATATGTCGCTTGAGCACGACATTTTTTTTCCTTGAATGCACCTCAAGCGGCATTTGAAAAAATATTTCTATAAAATCCAATTCTTATCCGATCGACTTGGGGATAGTATAAACATGTTTGCCATTAAAGTTTCGTTTTCTGTAATAGCCACATAGCCTATTTGGGAGAACAGCATCATCGTGGTAAGACCATTGTATTGTTGACACGACGAGTGTAATCGACCTAGTTTTTTATTTGGTGCCGGTCTAACGCATCCTTGTGTGACATTTTATACATATGTTCTTCTAGAACATTCTATTGCAAACACATTGGGACAAAAATTAAGTACGTACATTGAAAATTAAGGTCAGGACAGTGAAAAGAATATACACTTTTCAATAGGGGTTTCGCCGATCTGCCGTCGGGTGTGCGGTAAGAGGTAACACTTCAGCCACTTCCCACACTCTTGCGGGTGGGCTGCGACCATGATTCTACATTTATATGCATATGTCCGTGTAAGGAATTTTATTGCAATCTCAGTGATACCAAATTTAACGCTGTAAGACAAGTGTGGAGTTGACAACCCTGACGAGAATAGAAACATTTCGTCGCTGTTTGGTGCTCACGGCTAGTGATCGACGTAGTTCTTTATTTGGTGGAGCCGGTCGGCCGAGCGGAAAGCACGCTGGACTTGTGATCCTGTGGTCCTGGGTTCGATTCCAGTTGCCGGCGAGAAACAACGGGCAGAGTTTCTTTCACCCTATGCCCCTGTTACCTAGCAGTAAAATAGGTACCTGGGTGTTAGTCAGCTGTCACGGGCTGCTTCCTGGAGATGAAGGCCTGGTCGAGGACCGGACTGCAGGGACACTAAAAAGCCCCGAAATCATCTCAAGATAAGATAACCTCAAGGTGCTGGTCTAACTCAGGCTTTGGTGACATTTTATACTTGTGTTCCTCTATAACATTCTATTGCGAACACATTGGTACAAAAAAGAAATACATACATCAAAAATTAAGGTCAGGACAGTGAAAAGAATATACTGTACACTTTTCAATAGGGGTTTCGCCGATCTGCCGTCGGGTGTGCGGTAAGAGGTAACACTTCAGCCACTTCCCACACTCTTGAGGGTGGGCTGCGACCATGATTCTACATTTATATGCATATGTCCGTGTAGGGAATTTTATTGTGGTCACAGTGATACCAAAATTAACGACGCAGAACAATTCTGGGGTTGACAAACATGAAAAGATCATAAACATTTCAGGGTGGTTTGACGCTCACGGCTAACGATCGCCATAGTTTTTTATTTGGTGCGGGTCTCATGTTGGGTTTGGTGAAATTTTATATATATATATATTCCTCTAGAGCATTCTCTTGCGAACAAATTGATACCAAATTTAAATACATACATGGAATATTAAGGTGAGCAGACCGAAAAGATTATAAACATTTTAGTGTCACTGCGCGGTCACCCGAAACAAACGGCGCACACCGAGAAAGTACACAGTTTACTGCAGGGAGCGCGAAAGTATTAAAATGTCGGAAATTTTGACACTAAACTACTAATATACAGTGGCACCTCGACTTACGATTGCTCCTACTTACGATAATTTCGAGTTACGATGTCAATTTCATCGAAAAATGCGACTCGACATCCGATGGTGTCGTCGACTTACGATATTTGTTGGTACACGTTCGGGTCGACCAAGCACATGGTTCCCGGTCACGCGGCCGACCTGCCTCAGTTTACTACAGCTGCC